GTATGCAAAATTTATGATTGTAAAGTTTCAGATATTAAAGATTTAATGTTATAATTTTTTTAGTTTATAATAGATATTTTATATATAACATATATAAAAGGGTTGTGTATGCAGATTTGTAGATTTTTTTGTTTTGTTTTAATAAAATAATTTCATATGAACAATATTTAATTGGGAAAATAATAATATATATTCTATTATTTAAACTTAATAATATTGTACAAACTGAAATCATAAACAACTGACCGAGTAGTTGTTACATACATTAACTCTCATAATAAAAAAACATAATTTATATTAAATAAAATAATAATTTCCCTAAATAACTTTAAGCTTATTTTTTTTTTATTTACCCTAAAATTTAATGTACATTCAATTTGGCTTGAACGTTAAAAGTTAAAATCACCCGAGTTAAAACGCGAACGCGACCAAATTCCGCGGTGAACTTGGTTTAGGTACTTTACGAAATCACGATATTTACGACATTTTTTTTAGTTTTATTTTTTTTTTTAATATTATACATAACTTTTTATTTTATTATTTTTATCATATATTGATTTTGGTACATTTTAATTTTAATAATACTTTAAAATATATTAAATTATTTAAACTATTTTAATATAATATCAGACATTCAAGTTGCTTTTCAGGATTTTCATTTGTTCTTTGAAGTTAAGTTTTAAACTGTAAGTTTTGATCTGAGACATTATTTAAACTTTAAATTCATGGTTTAAAACCTTTTTTGTTATTTAATATTTATATATGTCTTTAAATATATATATATATATACATATATATATATATATATTTATCAAAATTAAATGCCCAAAATATACAACATATTTAAAAATCATTTCGCCTTACTAAAAGTTCTACAAACTTACTAAATAAAAAATGAAGTATTGGTATTAAATTTGAATATATGAAAAAAAAACTATATATAATATAAAATGATTTGTATGACGATAGTTTTTATAATATATAAATTATAGTTTAAATTTAAAAGATTTTCATTCGTTGGTGGGATGGTAGTAATTTAATTCTAAGTGGGATTGCACTCAAGTTATTGTTATTAGGTTATGTTATTTAAAACGATAGACAGATTAACGTTATTTTCAAGAATAAAATATAACAGCCTCTTTTGTTTTCTTAAATTTTAAGAAAAATTAATATATATATAAAGTATAGCGTGAATTACATCGAATGCTGTCCATAATGTTTAATTTTAAAACTAAAAAATTAGGTTGTAATTATTTTTTTAAAGTGCATTTAAAAATAAATTTGAGATATGTATCACTTATTGTTGAAATTCATCTATAACAGTTGTAATCAGTTATATTGAATTAACTGTATAAAATATTTGAATTATATTAAAACTTGTGTCTATATTAGTTGCAGTACAAAGACTTACAAAGTCACAAAGACGGAGCCACTCGGCGAGCTCGACAATCAAGTGTCGTTCAACACTCACAATAGGAAACTACAAAAGCACATCCTTGCAGACAACGACAATAACAACATTAGACCACTTTGTCATATGACAAAAAGCAATGCATGGAGATCTAGAGAAGTGATTTTAAGTTATTACTTAAATTGAATTTTTTATAGCTTAAGCAATACAATACTCGAAAAAATATTTTTTAATTTACATTCGTAATTTAGACCATTTTGTCATATAACAAAAAGTAAGGCATGGAGATACACCTCTATGCTTCCGAATTATTCTTCAAATTTTTTTATATCATAAGTAATACAATACTCAAAGAAATATTACATAATGTGAATTTGAAATTTTTTTTTAACAATTAAATAACAATTTAAAGTGTAATAATATTTTCATATAACATATTTGTGAACTTTTGTAAGGTATGATTTATTTTCATAGATATATATTTTTTTAAATTTCATTTATATTTTAACAGTTTTTTTTTATTTTTATATTTTATATTAAGATTCGGGGGCGGAAATCCATATATTATTTATATATTACGCGACGGAAAACCCGAAAATTATATCACACGTTAGTCATCCCCATTTTTATATTTTATATGTAATCACTTACAATATTTATTATTAATTTAAAATTTCTTAAATAATTTAGTTAACAGTTCTTTTCTTTACAATATTGAATATATAATTTGAGTTAATTTTCTTATATATCAATTATAATGTATTAAAATATTCTATAAAAGTCTTTTGAATGTTTTTAATGTACATAAGTTTTTCTTAATTATTAAAATCATGAAGCAAATATATATATAAAATTAAATAATAACTTTAGTAATTTGTGATCACATTATAAACGTTTAAAAAAAATTATATTAATAACTTAAATAATCTTAAATATTTTGTTCAATAGTTAATGGTAAGATAATATAATATCCGGATCAAATAATAAAATAATGTTACACCAAACTTTAATGAAACTAAATTTTTAAATGAATTATGAGACTTCTAAATTATTTAATAATACTATTGTTCTTACGTATTTTTGCTAATTATAAATAATTGTATTACCAATAAGTGTATAATTTTAAATTATTTATCAATTACGAAGACTTGGTGCTGTTTATTTAACCGTTTTCAAAACTTTCGTATATATAACAGCCTATAAGTCTAGGACAAACTCGATATTTTATATTTGTTTTTTGTTTTCTTTTTTTTTTTTGTTTTGTTGTTTTTACTTATAAACGAACGAACGAACGACGATATAAACGCGAGCGCGAAACCGATATAACCCGAAACGCGACGATTTGAAAGAGTAAAAATATTTGTAAAGTTGAACATTTTGTACATTTCAATTTTCGAATAGCATAGATCAATTAAATTTTTATATAAATATAAGGAACTGAAGTACATATATGTTTATATATATACATATTATTGATATACATACTTTATATATATTTTTGCCTTCTAAAAGTGTGAACGGATGTTTTATAATCAGTCTTTTTTCGAATTAAACATATTTTAATAATAATTAAATTAGATGAATGGTTCCATTATAAATAAAATTAATCATAAAAAAGTTGTAAATAAATGGCACAAAATTGTTTTGTGTTTGATATGTTAAGTTATACAAATAAATTTACTCTTTCCTTAATATACGATATATTCGAAAAAATTATATAATAATCAAATTTTTTACGACACGCGATACCACGACCCGAAATATCTAGTTGCATCGATTTAAATTATTTATTATAAATAATATGTATTTATATAAAAACTCAAATTTTAATCACAAAACAAAATATATCTTAAATAATATATATATTAAGAAATATAGTATATATGTATTATACACATTTTTGATGTGTTGTTAAAAATAAATCATATATTATTACTTTTATCAAAAATTTACTTATATATTTTGCACAATATTTTGTAAACTCTATCAAATGTTATAGTAATGTAAGTACATTAGGTTTAAGATGCAATACAATTAAAAGTAAAAATTAAATTACTTATCAATTTAATAAGGAATATTTATAAATTAAATTGAAGAAAAATAATTTTTGCTAATTTTTCTTTTATGATTAAACAACATAAATACACTGTATTTATATTAAAACTGCATACACACACATAAACCAAAGCACACGTTTTTTTCATCATTTATTTATATTTAATATTATATATATGTAATGAATATATATGTGAATATACACCGGACGTTTGCTTATAACGAAAAGTAATTATTTGATTCAAGAACCGAAAAAAAAGAATTGTATTGTTTAGGGAGTGCACATTTTCAATATTAATTAAGATATAAACCGGTAAAAATGTTCTTATAATATTTTGTTCCAGAAGTTTTAAATAAAAAAAATCAACTTTAAAAAACAATTTCTTTCAACTCATAATTGATAATAAATATGATTATAAATTTGAAAATTGTTTTTAATAAATAATGAATAAGAGTATTAAATAAAGCTTCTACGAAAAAAAACTTTTTGAAAGAATTTGAGATTTTTGTGATTAAAAGATCTTTCATTTTGAAGGGCCTTTCGCATCCAGTATTTGTATTAGTATTGAAAATTAACTTCTCTCACTCCCTTTATATAGTTATTTTTAGGCTGAATCAAAGAACAAACTACGAAAATTTTAGAATGTTGAAAGGGAACAGTCCGCGTAAATTTTCTATACATATACGTACATACACATATATTAATATATATACACAAATATATATATATATAAATGTAAAGATACACAAACATATACAAATATACATATATGCATATATCTATATATATATATATATCTTCACTATACATTAATTGTTATATATTTGGTAATAATAATTATTATTAATTCTATATTTTATATTTATATTTTTATATATATATACTAATTAAAAGCTTCAAGTAAATTTGCAAGTTATATTAATTTTCTTAATTGTGTTTTAAAATTATTTTATATATGCTTTACATACATATACATACATATTAATAATTTTTATATATAAAATATAGGTTGTTTATCTAACAGGATTATAATAATTAATATTAGTAATTAAAGGCTACGTTATTTTTTAAAGTTTATTTTTTATAGCCAATTTTAGTTTGTAAAATAGATGACTTTAAAGTAATTTGTGTTTTTATTTTAAGGTTTGACCTTTACTTTTAATATATATTTTTGTTTTATATTTTTATATTTCATGCTTAATGATTTGTTTTTTCTTTTATATAAATTTTTCTGATATATTTCTCAAAAGCAAATCATTATTAAATCAAAACTTATTTGGTCGAATTATAAGCATCTCTTGATTTTGGCGTTTAATTATCCCCTTGAGTACTAAATTTTGTATAATTTTTACAATTTAACTTGTTAAATATACCCCAACCCTGCTACATTTTTCCCTATTCTAACAAACAAAACGCCATATTTAAATTCCCTATAGAACTCCTAGCTACCTCTTGTATTAGTTTCTACAGCAGGGCACCCCAAAAATTATGTCAACCGTTTAAAATCGTTTTTCAGGCAAAACTATTTTTCTCTTCAACGTTACACAGTTTTGTCTGCTCTCGACTTCTTAATATTTCCATTCAAAATTTAAGATGTACATTATGTTTTCAACGTCCCTAAAACGAAATATCCGACACTCATATATTATGTCATAAGAAATAAATAATCGTGTCGTCACTCCTATCCCCCCAAATGCTCTTTTTCATTTCTTTTTCATCATACTGAGCTTTTGTATAATTTCTACGTTTAGATATTATACATTGCCACCAACCGCTCAGAAAGATTTGGTGGGAATTGTTCAACAAAACGACGCCAGTTTTCATCGCCGACTTGAGTTTTAAATCCAAGCAATATCTGAAAAGAAAATAATCGTTACTTATTTATGTCATTTTAATATATATTATATTCTTATGAATAATAGATTGATTAAATATAAGTTTAACCCTGAAGAAGCTGGTAGCTATTAATAAGTTAAAGTAATTTTTACTTTAGTAATAAGTTAAAAGTAAAAAAAATCATAACAATGAGATATAATTATATAATAATGGAATTATAAATTACAAAATTTATTTGTCTTCTCCACCATTGCAACAGGGATCATTAAACAGGGGATTCAATTTTCTATCACAGTTCTCTAAACGGCCTAACACATTAACAAACATACTATAGCACAAATTATTCTTAAAGGCATATTGCTTGACCTTTTCTTAAACTAATGCCAAATTTTGTTACAGATGCCGTACGTTTAGATGTTACAGATGCCGTACGTTTAGATGTTCCAGAATAAGTACTTAAGGCACTTCATATGGCCTGCTCATATACTTTCTATATCAGCTGCCTACTATATCCCTGTGACGAGAATTCAGAAAATAGAAATGTAAAACTGCATTAACATTTCTTTCAGAGATGCTTAACAGTCAAAAATCGTTCTAGATATTAAAGGACTGAACTCAAGAACTTTAAAGCAACTTGACTGTTGTATCTGTAGAATATGTATATATTCCTATTTAATATATTATATATTTCAAGTCAAATTATAAGTAGCAATTTCCGCCTGAAAAACACTGTAGTGAATGTGTAAAGTAAGGCTAAAATAATTTTAACAAATATAAGAAGTAAAATATTTATTGGAAATAAACATTAAAAAAATTACTTCAGTTTTAGTTACAGATAAAAATATAAATTTTTTAACTTAACACGGAAGTAGCTACCGCGCTCATGTATTTCGACTATGTTACCACGAGCGGCCGGGTCTACGTCCCGGAGCCACTCGTCAACCTTAACTCGATGACCAAATGCCGTTCAACACCCCCCAAAGGAATTTCACTAGTAGGTCCCAGCGGGTTACAACAAGAACAACTACAACTATATCATATGCAATGGTCTTAAATTCATGGTATTTAATACATTTATATAATATTTCTAATAGTTTATAACATTTAAAGTAAAATAAAATATTTTCAAACAGGACAAAGTTAACAGTAATACAGAAATATATTTTCTCCTAGTATATTAACAGCGGAATACAAAACTTTTTGAAACATATCATACAGAAAATATTTCAAATGAATTAGAAGCTTATTATAAGTAATAAAATTGATTTTCTAAAAATATACCCTGAAAAATATTAGTTTTATAAACAAAATTTCAGGTTATACACCTCAAAAGAAAATTAATAATTATTATAATCAATATACTATGGCACTTTAATATCGTGGATTTTATTCTAAATATAATATTTTTCTGGTATATTTGCTATAAATTGTATAAAAACAATTTTGCATTGTATTAAATGGATTCATATTAATTACAAACTAAACCCCTTTACTTTACTTTAGAACAAAATAAACAAATGTATGGGAGCTAGCTAAAGGCAACAAATAAACAAAATAAAAATGTTCCAGCTAACTGTACTTAAGGCAGGAAATAAAAATAAGGAAAACCAATGGAAAAATATGTAGAAATCGTCTGTATAACCACATTTTGGCTGATATATTCAAAATAATATTTAAAATATTGTATATAAATAAAACAATACCTTTTGTATCATTTGGTGCAGATCTTGCGGAGGATTTACCCATGAAGCTATTGCATCACAAAAGAATATAAAATCTTGAACAACACCTGCTGGATTGTATGTTATCATGTGACACATTCCTCGAAAGGCTGAATCTTTTTCATCATTATCCCGTATATGACGTAAAGAAGTACACCTATAATAAATTATAAATATTAATGCATATATTATAGAAATTGTTAATAGAAATGAATGTCACACATTATCTGTACAAGCAACATATAACATTTACAAACAACAAAAATTTATGTTAAACATAAATATTGTCTTTAAATGCATTATAAAATAAAAATCAATTAGAAAAACATAACATAAGAAATTATATATAAAGTGTTACACACCACTGTCGTACAAATTCTGGCAAATAAGGAGCCACTTCACCTGGGCACACAAAACCTAGACGACCGATTGTTATTGCTAAAAAACAGAAAAAATAAATAAAATAAAATCATAAATGTATGACTTATATTACATCAATTTAAATGTCAACAAACCAAATTAATTATTTAAATATACGTATTAATAAAATATTACATAAAAAATTTGCGAATGTAGGATGCACTTTAACTTAATGTATGACGTTTAAAATTAATATTAAATAAAATTTTAATAACATTAATAGCTCTTAAAAGCACAAACTTCTAAATATTTTTATGACACCTTCTTTTTATAAATAAAAAACAACATATATTGTATATTAATACAGCTGTCCTTTAACTGTTACTCAGTGTACATATATATTAACATCAAATAAATATATTACAAATTAATATATTTTAATTATAATATCCTACCAGTGTTTTCTAATAGTGTTTTCGGAGTATTGGGACGATTAATAATTATAAAAAGTTCCTTAAGCACAAGATGTATATACTGGCGCGTATCATCACCTAAAATATTAATAAACTTTTATTATAGACAAAATAAATTTTTATTTAAATATTTTCATACCAAGTTTCATACATATTTCCCCAATTGCCCAAGTAGCGTTATTACAAACCGATATGTAATCTGGATTTAAATTTTGACCCAAAATTGGAAAAAAATCTGACATAAACGGATGTACATGTTGGAAACATGCTTTAGTTAAATCACCAAGTAAAGCAAAAGACGATTGACGCACCTACAACACATAAAATTTTATAAATCAAATATATTTTAATTGAATACATATTAAGGTATTATTTTTAATCGCGATATTAATCAGATATATAAATCCAATCAAACCATTTAAAAAAATTGTACTAGAAATGTGAAAAATAATCTTAGTAGAACGAGCAATGAATTATTTTAAGAATAATTTATTTTGAATCAATTAAGTTTTTTGGCTGTCTATAGAGTTGTTTCTAGTATTACGTACAGTCCACTAATTATCATTGGACTGTAAAAATATTTATTGATTTCAATCAATCTGACTACAATTGTCAGGCTTACAAACCGTCTAATTAAAAGCGAAATGACTCGCGCGTTAAAATTCAATACGCAGTAAAAAACTGTACGATTGACTCAATCCAAACGTGCACGTCATTTGCCTATAATTTGACAGGCTTATATTTCTTATCCTAGCATTTATCCTGATAAGCATTGAAACAGCTATATGATCAGCCAAAAAATTTAAATAATAATTTAAATTCGTTGTTATAATTCCTTACTGTTCTAACTTTATCTTTCTTAAAATCCTTAATTTTACATTTAATATTCACATATTTTTTAATTAAATACCCACCTCAGGTAAATTATCTTGCATGCATTGGAATAACAACACCATTATATTACTATTAGCAACTAAGGATTCAATGTGTCCATCAAGTCCTTCTGCAAGTCCAGACAACAAATCTAGTGCTACAATCATACGCTCTTTATCGGGATGATCAAAACCGGGATTTGTTTTACAAACCTTAAAGTATGACCGTTGTTAAATTATAAGTAAACTGACAATTATTTTTTTTTCTTACCATATCTTGATTGATAGTTTGCTCTATTAGTGAGATACAGCGTCTGTAAACAGGATCACAATATGGTAAAAATCCAGATTGGAGTGCTGTAGCAATACTAGATAAACATTCAAGCAGTGGAAACAAATCCTTGTCATCATCTTTTAACAAGTTCCATTTGTCAATTAATGGTGGCATCAAGATATCTATATATTGTTGCTTATTCAAATGATGACCAACGGAATCGGCCAATGTACCAACAGCATCGTACAAAATTAGTAAATTTTTATGTTGATATTTTGAGAAAGCAAAAACTAATGTTTTCAATATATAATCCAAGTAAGGTACTAATTCAGTACATGCTTCCTCCTCCAGTGTTGCAAATGCGGAGCATGCTGCTTCCTGCACTCTTTTATTTGAATCAAGTATACGTTTCAGAAGTTCTTCCATTAATGGCTTTAAATATTGGTCATGGGGTTGATTAACAACCCAGTTCGCATAACGAGATAAAGTCCAGCAAGTAATAGAACGTACCAAAGCTTTTTTGTCCGAAAGTGAAGTAATTAAGTATGGTATTAATTCAGGTAAATGTGGTATCATGCCTTGCATGCATCCTTCAGCAATTGCACCTAGTGCAAGCACCCCACTTTCCTTAATTACCCACTCTTGATGGAAAAGTGTATCTTTTAATATGGGCAATACAATGGGTAAGCATTCTTCTCTAAAAACATTTGCTAAGACATCTAAAGCAGCTGCACTACATTTACGTAAATTCCATTCAGACAAAGAACTATCATCGTCGAGGCCATCGTCAAATTCATCGTCATCATCATCAAGTCCAGACTCCCCTGACTTAACAGTGTGTGTGCGAGACTTATGAAAACGTGGACGTATATCTTCTTCTCGATCTGGCACCATATCATCCTCCTCAACATTTCCTTTTAGCAAAATTATATCTATTTCAGAATAACGCATACCACGAACAAGAATTGGAGCCAACTGTGCTAAGTAAGGAGCCAACACTTCTTTGCATATGCTTTGTTCCGCTAGAGTAAGCCAAAATTCAGACGCTTCCAGAGCAACACCTTCATCCGTGTCTTGCGTACGTATCATCATGTACTATATAAAAATATATATTATTATAAAATAAGTATTTAGTATAAATGAATTTTGTGTACCTCAATTATTTGTGGCATATGAGGCAGCAATCGATCCATGCGCACTTCCAATAACATAACTAAACCATGACATACATTCTTCCTCACTTCATGGTCATCATCTGACGATAAATTAAATAAGCTTTCTATAAACGAATCAATATGCACCATTAGAGCTTGAGAACGATTGATAATAAATTGATTTATGCAAGCTATAGCATGAGATCGTATTTTCGGACTACTATGACTGAAATATTGTAAGAATTTTGGAATCATAATATTTAAGGGTCGATTTAGTACGGCTGAGTCAAGTATTTCCGCAGAATCCTCACAAATCTTTTGTAGCGCACTAAAAGCTCCTTCGCACACATTATAATCCTGTGAGTCAAGCATGTCACATAAGGATGGCAATAATTGTGGCCAATTTTGCAAGCCACCATTGCTGGCAATAGTTGTGATTAAAATACCGACTGTTGCTCGAATCAGAGGCGAGGGATCACCAACCGCTTGTAGGCACTCAAATTTAATATATTCAACAATCTCTGGTTGCAAATTACAGCCATGTATCCGAATATTATTTTTCAATATTAAGCCGCTTAAGCTGCGTGTAGGCTCATCCTCAGTTTTAAGTTTGGTTAATACATAAATTAGATAATTATTAAAATCTGGATATTGATTCAATTCCTCTAGTTTCTGTAAAATATATATAAAAATAATTGTATAATTTTACAATAGTTCATACAGAACATATATAACTACTTCATAATATTTTAAATATATGAAGACTGAGAAGAATACATAAAATAACAAGTGTAGACAATTAAATGCATATTCCATTTTTGACTTACCATTTGTACTGCCATTTGTGTGGCTGTATCTGGAGACTGAGATTCTTTCAGAATCGTGATTATTTGTTGCAATCCTTCAGCCTGCGGTTCCCACGTCATGTTTGCTTAAATAACTTTTACGCTAAAAATGAAGTAAAACATTTTCAAATTAATATACAAAGACAAATCAAACGAGGTGTGTAAAAATATATTGATTTTTGATTATTCATCATTATTACGACAAACGATTTTTTTGATCTTTAATGGAAATACATATTATGTATAATTCCGTATAAAAGTATACATTTTATTATACTAAATGTTTGAATTACTTTTCAGAAAAATTGCAAATATGTATGTGCATATATAAATGCATATGTCATGATAAGAACAAAAAAAAACCTTTACAATAAATACAAACAAAATACAAGTTTATAATAAAAAAAATTTATCTTACTTACTTAATGTATTAATGCAATCTTTTTTTTAAAAAATCCCACAATAAAACTTATATTTTCCACGCTTTTTATATTTTCTCCCTGTCTGTCTGGCAGAAAATTTTTTTTATGTGAAGAACTGCAAAATGGTTTTCTGGCTTGTCAGTTGGTAGTATTGCTATTTCATTTTGTATAATTATCTTGAAAAAATGAAATAGATATACTAGTGAAAAATGACAGTTGACCTTTGTTGTCAATTTTTTTAATAAAAATATTTGATTGATTTTATATAATATTTTATATGTGAATTTAGTTAAAATAATATAAAATAACTGTGCAATAATGTTCACTTTAAATGTGTACTGTTTTATAAATAAAACTAAAATTATAAATAATTAAATTTAGAATAACCACCTGTTCTCAAACAATAAGTTCAATATTTCACGACAGAGGGCCTGTCAAATGTATTATGTTTCATATGACGTTCTTTTGTTTACAATCAGAAACTAAATAGTTCATTGTCATTCGGTCTAGGTTTTATGTTTATGCGTTTGTGACGTGTAAACCGAATTTGATTAATAGAAAAAAGTATTTAAAAAAATGGTAACCAAATTAAATGTGAATATACGAACTCTTTTATCTAACTGTGAAGAATTATCTAAAGATGAAAATAATTACTGGCGACTGCGAAAATTTATCAAATCACTCGATACCATGATAATTGAATTGCAAGAATATGAAGAGTAAAGGAATATAATTTTTCTTAACATATTGCAAAATGTAAATTTGTAATTTTAGTTCATCAAGTAATGCTAAAATACCAGATTATGTTAAGAGATTGGAGAATTTAAAATCCATAACGAACTATTCAGAGGCAACTACTCAGCTACGTTCTAAAATTGGTGCAGAATCTGGCGATGACGTTATCAAGGAAGTCAGGCAACTACAAAATGCAAAGCAATATACAGAGTTAAGAAAGGAACTATTAAATGGTTAAGAAATTAAAAAATTTATATTATGTAAAACTAATATTTTATATTTTAATTAATCACATAGAGGACACGCTACGGCGTAGAAAACCAGATGATGCACAAACGGCTGATAATATGAACGAAGCGGTTAAGTATTACAATGAAGCACAGGAAAAAATTACAGAGCATATGCTTTCACTGACTCGTAATCTAAAAGAACAGACAGAAACAGCAAATCGTATTATTAAAAAGGATACCGAATTAGTGTCCCGTTCAACTGGTATGGCGGATCGAAACATTAGTTCGTTACACAAAGAAACTGAAAAACTAGAAGATCATTCACGAAATGCGTGGAAGTGTTGGATGTGGATAATGATTATGTTCGTAATTTTTGTATTTATTGGTATGGTACTCTTTATGAAACTAATGAAAAAGAAAAAAGTTTAAATTTATATCAATTATTAGATTAATACAAGTGAGTCGTACTAAAATATATTTGTCATTAAAGCAATAAATTCATGTTAAGTGTTTATAGAAGAATTGATTGTTATAATTTTAGTTATTTTTGATGCTTTATTCGTATATATCTAAAATGACCAAAGGTTAATTTTTACTCTATTATAAAAACAAAAAATTTACTATTACAAATATCTAGGCAAACAGTGAAATAATTATAAGAAAAAATGTATAAGCTTGATAAACATATTCTTAATATATACAAGTAAACACATAATTGCTTTTGGAACAGTATACAATATGATTAAGAAAAATGAATTAAAACTTACATTTAAATTTGTTTAAGAGAAGCTTATATATGGCTATTTTGTTGTTATTTTTATTGACCCTTACTTAGTTTGTATTCGGCATTAAGAGGCAATTGAAATATTAAAGAAATTAGTGCAATCAATATAATAATTGAATGTGTATTGCTAACAGTTTCGTAGAATGCAATACGCTTTGAAATCAAATAAAACTTGATATCCCCAAGAGGTTTTAGCTACCAATTTCATTGATGCATACGAAAGAAATTTGGTTGGTTTTTTAACTCCACTGAATGCAATTAAAATTAGAATAAAAATAATACTGTTAACTTTGGAACTCGCCGTTTGAGTGTAAGGATTTGTAGGATTTTCTTAAAATACAGCTCACAAGTAAAAAAAATTGAAAATAACATTGTCTCCATATAGTAGCAGTAAAGTCGTTCACCTTTTCCGGAGGATCCTTCTGTTTATTACAAAGAGCCCTTAAAATATTTTTAAAAAATATAAGTGAAATGTACAACAAAAAATAATATTATATGTGTTATAAATAGGATATAAAGAAAAATAAGAGAACCTAGAAAAAGTGTTCAGCTCTAATTATGTAGGTAAATTTCATGCCGTTACACAATATTATTTATTATAAACTCTAGATAAACTACATTTTTAGTTAAATTTATATTAAAATAATAGGAACAAACAATATGTTGTAGTTTAATTTTTATTATCGTTTTTAATTCGTTAATCTGGAGTACGATTTGTACTTGAGCATTCCGTTCTTGTAAGTGATTAGTGCTCAAAACATATATTAGAATAAACAGAGTTAATTGAAACTAAAATACACAATAAAGTGTCAGGTAACAGTACTTAAAACTCGAAAAATATGTAATAATAATACATAACATGTAACTGCTAATTGCAGTTACCGGAGCCACTGATACTTCTTAGTTAAAGTACTGGAAAGTACAATCTAATATAGACAGGTATACAATAATGGCTACAATAACGACCAATTTTATCTGAAATAAATTTTTGTTAATAAAAACTAACTGGTTGCCGCAATTTTATGCTCTTTTTGGTCATCAACCAAAAGTATATCATAAAATAAGAGAAATAAAATTACTTAGTACTACCGTGATTTCATTGTCTCATTTAAGCAGCTCATTAAGATCGGGAATGAAGATCATTTATCATACAAAGCGCCTTAATATAAATAAGTTCAACTGATTTAAGGCGAAAAATATCGAATTAAACTTTTAGAAATAAATTTCCCATAAGGGAAATTACCATAATTTGAAATATTTGTCATATATTTTATAAGTAAAATGTAAACAAACAAGATATTTTACATGCATACATCAGCTTATGCCAATGGAAACAACCAAATTTTAATTTCATTAACATAACTATTTTTAGCTGCAGTGTCAAGGTAACTTTAAGCTTTTTTTGGGACATAAGAAAAATATATGTTATCCAACGAGTCATAACACATATATTAAATTTGTATTTGCGCTACTATTTTAGTATTATAGTATTATTTGATTATGTTTAATATTAAGTTAAAGTTAAATATTTTTTAGGGAGGTTTCGAAAAGTAGTGAACTACAACAACAAAAATTATTTTTATATTATTTTAAGTAATTTAATTTTTGGCCGATGATACATCTGTTCAGAATATTGCCAAATATTCATCATCAGTGATACTAAAATTATTTCTTGTATATAATTATTCGTAAAAAGTTTTGAGACTTCAAGTACCTTGGATTGAATTATTAAATAATTGATTAATAATTTTTGTGTGAATCTACATAACAACATGCATATTTGCTTCTATTATACACAGATTTTGATTTTTACTACTAAGTAGAACTGCTTTTGATCACTCAGACTAAATTTGAATAGAAATTACTCTCATTCTTAAATTTTTAATTTACATTTACATTTAGGCACGGTGCGAGTTTAAGTCAATTGAAATAAAGTAAACTGAAATTTCATGGGGATTTTTTTTACTGCATTCATTTAAATATTTATTTATTGCACTTATTTATTATTTCTGGTTAAAAATTTTTAAATTTATTTATTGGACATCTTACAAAATTTTCTCAATGGTAACACCTAATTTACTTAATTTTTATCTAATTTATCCTACTCCAAATTCGCTGCCATACCAGCATAATTTACTATTTCCCTCAATTTACTCGAACTCGCAAACGGTCTTAGTCAAAAAATAGGATATCTGAAACTTGCAAGGTAAATTCTTTTATGTTACCATTGGGTTAAACATCGAGATGACATTTAGTAAAGTATTAAACACACCCCATGAAACTTCTTGACAAATGAAGAACTGTCAAAACAAAAACAGTCCTACCAACGTTACGTCTCTTTCTTTTTCCGGTCGCCAAAATGGTAAGACTAACAGGAAAATTGCCAAATATTATTATGTTTAAAATCATCAGCGTATTTAATAAATCTAAACATAATAATATAAATGCAATGAAGTGAAAAATTTGTTTACTATGTGAGGATGTGAAAATTTAATTTGTTTGATTTACAGGGTATTGATATTTGCCATAAATACGATCGTAAGGTTCGTCGGACTGAACCAAAGTCCCAGGATGTATACCTACGTCTGCTTGTTAAGGTAAGAATAATAAAATCATCTAATACTTTGGAGCAATAATTTGGGTATATGCTTATCACTGTTCTAAGCATAGATCCAAATGCTCGTAAATTGTTTACAATGAAATGAAATGTTTTTTTTTCTTCTTTGTTTTAGTTGTACCGTTTCTTGCAACGCCGCACTAACAAGAAATTCAATCGCATCATTCTAAAGCGTTTGTTTATGAGCAGAATTAACAGGCCACCAATGTCTTTACAACGTGTCACTCGCTTCGTCAAGAAGGCCAAACAACCTGAATCAACCGTAGTTGTTGTTGGTACTATCACTGACGATGCTCGTCTTCTTGTTGTACCAAAGATGACAGTATGTGCTTTACATGTTACACAGAAAGCACGTGAACGTATCTTAAAAGCCGGAGGTGAAGTATTGACTTTCGATCAATTGGCTTTGAAAGCACCCACAGGCAAGAATACTTTGTTGTTGCAAGGAAAACGTACGGCACGCACTGCACACAAACATTTCGGTAAAGCACCTGGTGTGCCACATTCACACACTCGCCCATACGTACGATCAAAGGGACGTAAATTTGAACGTGCCCGTGGACGTCGTTCAAGCTGTGGTTACAAGAAGTAAACTTATTTATAGAAGATTGGCGATCATTATTTAAACGCATTGAAAAAAATTTTTAAGTGCAAGACAACAAACATCTTGAATAAAATGAAAGCTTTTTTTTAGTTCCAAAAAGTGTTGTAGTTAATTATTAAATAATTTAATTTTCATATTTCTGAAATAATGGAATTTTAAACCAAGAAAAAGTGCTTTTTTTAATATGTAAAATTAAATGAAAATTCGGTTCTAACCGAAATGGAAATTAATTCTGAACACAACAATACAGAGGATCGTTCGAGTGTTTAGATGTGAATTGTGAAGGTTTTATGTGTAGTAGAATGCATAATAACACCTTATCTAAACATATAAGAGCTTTAAGAGACTTTATGGACTAGTGAACTGAATGGACATTAGCGTCAACTGAAGGTGTCAAAAAAGCTAAAAATGCGGTTCATGAAAATCCTGCAAAAAAAAGGTTGTGAAACCATTGTTGTTGAAGTATAATAAATTTATTTAATTTCAAGACAAAGGAAGATAGCTTTAAAGGATGAGAAGTTTTATAAAAGACAATTTAATTTTAAAAAATGATTAATTAAGAGATATGGTCCATTGGAGATATATATTCATAGTTTGCTTACGTACACAAAAATAAAGGGAACGTGCAAATATTAACCATAAGCCTGTACAAAAATGATTAAATTCGGGATAGATCTCTCTGCGATATTTAAGACATAATTTGTGCATATTAGTTTCATAATAATACGACCTGAAATTGTCGTTTGGCAGAAGTACATTTAGCCCCACTTTTATAATGTACTAACATATGTACCTGACCCATTTTGAGTTATAATTATGTTCCTGCCACATTTTAAAGTTAACATCACAGCAATTCTCTATTTAGCATGTTAGCAAGCTCAAGTATTTCGGTTCTGTAACTTGGAGAAGTTCCTTCTGTGCAATCATGCCGAACTTAAAAACGCCCTTCACATGTATAATAAGTTCAACTGCGAGACAATTATGTATGCTTCTCACGTATACCTATCCCAAATGGTTTCCAATCAGTCCTATGCAAACTGAAAAGTATTATCTTTCCGATCTTAACAAACTTTACTTTTACACTCGATTGGTTAATAAAATGGAGATCTTCACATCTAGGTCTTATAATTAAAATCTTTTATTATTCAAGACAATTACTTTAATAAAAAAATGGATTAATTATTTATAATATATTCTTAAATCTGAAAATCCATTTAATTTTCTTCATTATAATAAAACACCCAAAATCACCAAACAAATATTCGTTAAGTATATAAAATTTTTAAAAATATTTTTCTATAACTGTTGATATTAACTTTTTTTATTGTACTTTATAATAAATTTATTTTTTATTATAAAGTAAATACTTAAAGTCGTCCAATTCTTTATTGTTGTTCTTTAAAGTAAAGAAAATTAGTTTTGGTTGAGTTTATTTGATTAGTTTTTTAAATAAACTTAAATTAATTGGAAATGTATTTACAATTTTCAAATATAAAATTTATATATTAAGCAAGATGTGCGCTCCAATAATTTATTAAAGGCTGATCTTGTGGCTGGATTCCAAGGACCTTTTTAAGTTTAGTTTGCCCTGTTGTTGACTTTGCACGGTTTAAGCAAATTATTTTACTATAAAAACCAAAATAATCAATATTTATTTAACATTAAATGTATAAATGAATTATTTCACCTACTTTTTCCATTCTTCGATCAAAACTTTAGTCTGTTTATTTAGTACCAGCTCTGTAAAGCGCGTCTCATTGACTGCTTTAATTAGTTTAACCATTAAATCGGGCCCTGTTAATAATTTTAAAATAAATTCATTTTCTAATGTTAAATTTTGTCGAAAGTAACGCGTTTTATAACGGAAAGAAACTATTTAAAAGTTGGAAGGGTTCGCATAGAAATGAAGTGACAACAACAAAAAATTTTATTTATTTTATTGAAGTTTGGCTGACTATAAAATGCTGTTTCGAGTATTGCCAAATATTCATCATCAATAGTCGGGAATTGGAATATTTCTTAAGGCTACCCATGATGAGTACTTGACAATACTCGAAGCAGCATTGTATAGTCAGCCAAACTGCAATAAATTAACTTAAATTTTTTGTTGTTGTCTACATTTCTCTTCGAACCATCCTATCATTTAATTTTATTTTTTTGTATAAAATTAAACATGTTAAGCGTACATTTACTAGGTAATTCGCCAGGCCATTTTACTGAAACTTCAAATCCATCCATTGATTTGTCTAAGTAGTCAATGCGCAACACGGAACTGCAAGCGATTGGAACGGGTATTTCATTAGACACAGATATTATTTTATAATCTGAACTAATGGAGTGCTGATGCTGTGCGTCAATACGCATCAAGTTGTGCATTTTGTCGGGTAATAATTTTCTTAGACAAAGCATAAAATTAAAAGTACGTTCCGGGGAACCACGTACTATAATCTGGAAATAGTATTACGTTAAATTCAATAATCAAAATAAATACATGTGGCAGGTATTTGGCATACCTTAACCCCTGTAAGTGCACAATAGCAAACTGTAGTAAATAAATCATTTCTCACAACTTGTTTAATGTGACGCAGTGAATAGAATTCTTCTTGTTCAGGATCGTCAAGGGTTTCTTCGAATTTCTGTATCATTGGTAAAGTTGTTATATTATACGTTAATCGTTGTTTTGGCGGTTGACCACTACTTTGTGGAGGTAACCACGGTAGATTGCCGAATGTGACATGTTCCGTTAGAAACCGCGAACCAGCTAAGAGTACCCACGAAAAATGTGAATGTAATATTGCGTATATATTATCTTCGCCAGTCAGTTCAACAAGAGATCTTGGCGTTTGTACTAGCAATTGTGCACCAGATAAACGTCTCTGACGAGGTGAGTCTTTAGCTTCTTCATCTTCTTTTATTTTGTGCGCGGATGCTTGTATTTCAGATGAGATTCTTCGCAAATGTTCAGCTAAAAAAGGTTTTGTATTTAGCAAGAAATATTTATCTTTCATTAATATAATAATAGAAAAGAGTTGATAAAATCCTCTCGCCTAAAAAAAATTTCAGTTAAAAATATTGTATAAGCAGCGACGAAAATTCAATTTTATACATTACTTGTAAATCGCTAACATGAAAAGTGTGACTTAAGACATGGCCCTGAGTTGAGTCACCAAAAAAGACAAATCCGCCGTCCTTGTTGCAATTTATCTCTGAACTTAAACTTTGTATTGCAGCATATTTCACAAGTGTGGCCACTTCCGGTAGAGCAGCAGTCTGTGTACTTAAAAATGTAGCACCGCTTTCGGTATCCTTGCTGTACAATGCATTGGACTGACCCAAAGAATTGCAAGCTGCACACAGCTTATTATTAATTTGTTGGTCAAGATGTAAATCATCAAGCTTTGAGCGTAACGTCAATGTGCAGAATATTGGACATGGTCCATGTGCTTGGCAAAAATTACACAATGCAATTACTGCATTCATTTATAATACTTATTTTTTGTTTAATGCGTAAATCTTCAATAAAGTTTGTTTTGAATGCAAACTTGTCAGCTGCTGTTAAAAAAGAGTGCCCTGCCGATATTTTGTAATGACAGTACCCTACACACAGCAAAAAAAAATTCATTTGGTAAGAAGTGATTTGTATGTGTA